CCCGTTATCCAATTGAACTATTGTATTTTCAGTAAAAGTCTGCTGGTGCTATTGGGTTTCGTTTTTTTCACTCTGTACTTATACCCCAAATTAACTAAATTTTGACCTCCTTGAGAATTAGGAATAAACCCTATGCGAACTTGAGCCATTTTAAAAGATATAATGTAATTGGGGGTGACAACTATCCTTATATAATGATAGTGAGTTTCTAATCATATATTTCATTGATTTATGGGTACTGTCTGAATGAAAGGTAGGTGAATAATATTTAAGATACTTGTTAACCGATGACACGTGAACTTAACTTATATATTTTAATCATTAAAATAATTAAATTTTAACTAGGTGAACAGTACTAATAAGGATACAGTCTATAATCCTTTGTTTACTTAAATTTTCACACCACTACCCTATAACACCAGTTGATTGGGGGGCACAGTGAGATTAACCCATTCCCGTTAAGGAGAAATCCGCTGTATAATAATCATAATTATCCAATGAAAAATAGTTTATTTTGATACCTTTTGACCACTTTCCGAGTTTTCTGAGTTTTGTGTTTTCGTATAGGCCAAAATACAAACCTCGGTTATTTAATTATAACTGCCATATTGCATTATTTTGGTTAAAATCTAACTGAAAAGGTTACAGATCATGTCCAAATTATTAAATAGATGTGTTACTATCACTTAATTATCCAATTAGATATTCTCGACACGTAGTAGGCTTACTGCCTGTGATGTCTGTCTCGATGCAACAAAAATTTGAGTGGGCTACACTAAATATCGAGTTATTCCCATTAAGGAGAAATCCGCTGTATAATAATCATAATTATCCAATGAAAATAGTTTATTTTGATATCTTTTTGCTACTTTCCGAGTTTTCCGAGTTTTGTAATTTCGTATAGGCCAAAATACAAAACTCGGATATTTAATTATAACTGCCATATTGCATTATTTTGGTTAAAATCTAACTGAAAAGGTTACAGATCATGTCCAAATTATTAAATAGATGTGTTACTATCACTTAATTATCCAATTAGATATTCTCGACACGTAGTAGGCTTACTGCCTGTGATGTCTGTCTCGATGCAACAAAAACTTGAGTGGGCTACACTAAATATCAAGTTATTCCCGTTAAGGAGAAATCCGCTGTATATCTTTTTGCCACTTTCCGAGTTTTCTGAGTTTTGTATTTTCGTATAGGCCTAAATACAAAACTCGGAAAACTCGAAAATTAATTATAACTGCCATATTGCAGTATTTTGGTTAAAATCTAACTGAAAAGGTTATAGATCATGTCCAACTTATTAAATAGATGTGTTACTGTCACTCCTTTCGCCAATTTTTTTTATAAAAGTTAGGTAGGCCTATTCTCGACACGACGTATATAGTATGGGAGAACGGGGCAGGTTCGGCCTCGGGGCCATGTGTCAAATTGAAATTATATACACACCTCGTTTTAATCATTTCATCTTTTGGATGTCCGAGTTTTCGATCTCACCCAAGTTATCCCCGTAAATGCGAGTTGAGTTCCTTTGTACAAATTACAACCCTTACACACCATATCCAATGAAAAATATTTTATTTTGATACCTTTTGACCACTTTCCGAGTTTTCCGAGTTTTGTGTTTTCGTATAGGCCAAAATACAAAACTCGGAAAACTGTGATATTCGATTATAACTGCCATATTGCATTATTTTGGTTAAAATATAACTGAAAAGTTACAGATTATGTCCAACTTATTAAATAGATGTATTACTACAACTACTTTCGCCAATTTTAAAAAAATAATATTTTTGATAAATTTTCCAACTTTTTCTCTTTCCGAGTTTTATGATTTGACTCGATTGAAAACACAAAACTCGGAAATGTCGGAAAAAATTGTCCGACTTTTTTGTTTGAATAGAAAACTCGGAAAATATTTTCCGACTTTTCAGTTTGAAACAAAAAGTCGGACAATTTTTCCCGAGTTTTGTGTTTTCAATCGAGTCAATTCATAAAACTCGGAGAGGAGAAAAGTTGGAAAATATTTTCCGAGTTTTCCGAGTTTTGTACCTGACCGGAAATAGCCTTGATGTATAATCGCACATTTTTTATATTTTTGTACAATGTTTTGATACACCTAATGAAATTTCGTTTGAAACCTAAATAGCGCAAACCTTCTAACATATAAAGTGTGCTTGTGCTATGGAATCGAATGCTTTAGTGAAGTCGAAAGCCAAGCTGACGCAATCATCTAAAATTCTTACATTGTCATAAATATGTAGCCCGACACAAAGGCGGTTTGACTTTGGCTTGACAAGTTTTTCCAAAACAGTTTTCAATCTTATACAGAGAACTTTACTGGCTATTTTAACATCCACATTAATTAAAGTTATCGATCTCCAGTAATTTAATTTATTCTTTTTGAGTTTAGAAATTAGTTTTATAATAGATTGACGCTGGCTTCCCGAGAGGCATTCCTGTTCAATGCCCTCATCCAATGAGTCCAGAACAGATGAGCGCATTGAAGGTCAAAAGCACGAGTAAAATTCCGCAGTCAGTCCATCATTAACCGGAGCAGAACCAAACTTAGAAGAGTCTACTGCACGCTTGCTTATCCAACTTATGCTCTAAACAGTCAGCCTTGTAATCGTCAAGACATGAAGTTGAATTCGACTTATTAATATATTTTGGAATTCCATTTTTATTAGTGGTTTTCACAGAATACAATTATTTATAAAACCTCTCGATTTCTCTCATTACCTCATTAGGATCATCAATAATTTCATTATTGGAGGCGTTAAACAATTTACTTAATGTAAAAGCAGTCTGTTTTTGTTTTTCAAGATTTAGGAAACATGTAGTATTTTTGTCATCTTGACTTTAGCTCGTATTAAAGCACCTTCACTTTCATCTCTACACAAGGTTTCCTGTCTTTCCTTAACATGTTCAAACTGTATGATCTTTGATTACTTCCTTCGAGGGTCGATTCTAGATGTTCGTGTTCTTTTAGTATGGATTGCTTCAGTTGTTGTATTTTTGTCCCCCGCCTTTCGAGGAAAGCAGGAGACTATTAAAATGGGTTCGTCCGTCTGTCTGTCCGTCACATTTGGGACACAATATCTCTTTTTGTAATTGAGCTAGAATGTTCAAACTTGGTGTAGGTGTTTAATAGGCCAATGCCTTGATGGAGTTCGAAGATAAGCATTTTCTGCTTAGGGTAGATAGAGATAAGCAATTTGATTGGTTAATTCTTTGGGACACGATAACTTTAGTTCTAATTAAGTGAGAGTGGTGAAATTTGGTATATAGTTTTATTACATCAATACCTTGACTAAGTTTGATAATGAGCATTTTCTGCTCAGGGTAAGCAGAGCGATAAGCAATTTGATTGGTCGAGACTTTGGAACACAATAACTCTCATTCTATTTGAACTAGAATGTTCACACTTGACGTAGGTGTTTATTAGGTGAATGGCTTGACGGAGTTAGAAGATGAGAATTTTCTGTTTAGTGTAAGTAGAGATAAGCAATTTGATTGGTTGATGCTTTGGGACACGATAATTTTAATTCTAATTAAGTTAGAGTGAGGATACTTGATGTATAGTTTTATGACATCAATACCTTGACTAAGCAGGGCGATAAGCAATTTGATTGGCGTTCTAATTGAGGTAGAAAGTCCAAACTTGGTGTAGGCGTTCATTAGGTGAATGCCTTGATCTAGTTCGATGATAAGCAGACATAAGCAATCTGATTGGTTGGCTTTGGGGCACGATAACCTTGGTTATCATTAAGTGAAAGTGATGAAACTCCGAGTATAGATTCTTTATATCATTACCTTGACTAAGTTCGATGGTGAGAATTGTCGCCTTCAGCGTAAAACTTGACTTTAGCTCGTATTAAAGCACCTTCACTTTCATCTCTACACAAGGCTTCCAGTATTTCCTTAACATGTTCAAACTGTATGATCTTCGATTACCTCCTTCGAGGGTCGATTCTAGATGTTCATGTTCTTTTAGTATGGATTGCTTCAGTGGTTGTATTTTTGTCCCCCGCCTGTGATGAAACTCCGAGTATATATTCATTATAGTATTACCTTGACTAAGTTCGATGATGAGAATTTTCTGCTGAGGCTAAGGAGAGATAAGCAATTTGATTGGTCAAGACTTTGGAACATAACAACTCTACTTTTAATTGAGGTAGAATGTTTAAACTTGAAGTAAATGTCCATTAATTATGCGAATGTCTTGTCTGAATTCAATGATTAACATTTCGAGCTAAAGCTAAGCAGAGCAAAGCAATTTTCTGCAAGATAACTTTTAATCTATCTGATAGTGAGTGATGAAACTTCGTGTATAGTTGATAATCAGTTTGATTGCTTGATACTTTTGAAAAAAAATAAATGTGCGATAAATTAAAATGTGTCGTATATTTATTTTTGGGATTTCGACGGGGGACATCAGCCTCACTGTTGGCTTGTGTATTGCTCATTTCTATTCCCAGGGCTTATTGAATCTCTGATACCATTTTCCATATGTTGTTGACTTGAGGCAAGTGAAAGCATTTCTGACTTGAGCTGATCCCTTTCTAACACTAATGCCTCCATCTTTTCCTTTTCTTTTGAAAGTGATGTCTTTAGTTCAGTGATATTTCAACTTTGATTTCTTTACATAAATCTGATCATATTTGGTGCAGTGAAATTCGTAACGATTCATCAAGGATGACCAAATGTTTTGTATTTGTGCCAGGTCAGTCCCGAATATTTCGTCCTCCGAGGAACTAGTCACATGTATTCTCTTTACCTTTGGTTTATTTGAGACGGTTTGTTTTACTCATGGCTGACTTGATTACAGGTAACGTCAAGTTGACAATGAACACGGTATAATTGTCATTTATAAATAGACAATATGGTTTGATCTCAACCACTGTGTTTCTTCTAAGATCTTCAAATCTATATAGTCTTCAACAACCCAAAGATTTGTTCTATATGCACTTTTAAGAGCTATTTTACTTTTCTAGGTGATATAACATCAGAACCCCACAAAATATCAGACGATGGCTTCTGGCGACCGTGAGGGTAAGTTGACAAAATATATGTATATATATATTTATTATATATCCGAAAATAAGGGTTGTTGGGTGACCGAATGGTTAATCCGTGTACATTGCATCATAAGGTCTGACAGTAAGTCAAGTAACATGGTTTCGATTCCCGCATGTACGTGACAAAACGTAGGTTCGCTTGTCCAACCTCTTGGGTTTTCTCCCGTTTCTCCGGTTTACACCCACTGTTAATAAAGACCCTTACGCGCATGCGAATTATTGAAATAAAATTGAACCATATGTCAGTCCAGAAATGACCTGGTTTGTGTCGAATGGACGTTAAGCCTCATTTCTCGCTCTCCAACTAGAAGATCTCCCATTCAGACCAATAATAGCTGCCCGTGTTACCCTGCTTAAGCCGTACCTGTCAAATCTATAAATGACAGATTTTGTTAATACATTGCCCTAAAATCCAAATTATGGCGACTTTTACACGTCACCATGGATGTTTGTAACATATATATGGCAACATTTTCAGTGAAAAGAAAACAATTTAAAAATACAAGGTGGAGAATGAATTAAGCAGGTGCAAACGACTGTCGTTCAATTTGAACTTTTCGCGTATTTCACAGAGCATAATTGATTAGAAATTTACAATAAAAACTTTAAAAAGGTGTAAATCACTTTATATACACGCATATCATGGATTCCACCGTGACGGAATATTCAGTGGCTGTTAAATATAGTAACAGTATATCCCATTGGGGATTTTATAAGATGGGGGGATATATGAGGAATAATTAAAAATCCTATTCTTTAAATGGCATTTAGTAATTGGAACATAATCAAATAACACACTATTTATGGATAACAATTACTCTGGTTTATTTCACTGCGACGTTTCAACAAGATTTCACAAGTAGTTATCAAGCATATAACACAAATATATGTGAAATCTTGTTGTGAAACGTCGCAGTGAAATAACCATAGTAATTGTTATCCATAAATTGCGTGTTATTTAATTAAGAATCCTGTTGGACTCTTTATATCAGATGCATTTTATGAAATAAGATCTATAACATTATGTGACGGAATTACCCACTTTGACAATACCCAAATGGAAACTATGTGTTTATTATTAAATCTGTGAATCGAAAGGTTTTATGGCTTGTGATATTTCAAAAATATCTAGCTCTGAAAATATGAACAAAAATTTTTTATAAACAAATCATCCCAAAGAAGTGTGATTGGTTGCGTAAAACATGCGTGACGTAATTACGTTTCACATTGTGACGGAATTACAGTGCAGACATTGCGCCAGGCTGAATATAACTGATCAGCAGGGAGATAATATCAACCCAAATTAACAGTTTTTTTTAACCGACGTTTACTTTCAAAAAATAGATTTTAACAATTGCGTTTCTTTTTTATAATCCCGAATGAAAAGTTTATTTTCTGTTATGATAAAAGTGAATCTAAAATTAAAATAGTTCTATAACGATATCGGAAGTTTCGCAACAGGATTCATGAAACCTCAGGTTTTCAGACTTGACACCCAATCCAGTCCTCTGCTAATTTTGGGCCCCCCTTATCACTATAACCCCATCCACATGTATTGCAGTTCCAAACGCGACTATCTCTATCTGTCTCCTTTGAGTGGTTCCTGTTTTCCTTGCCTGTAACACCGCGTGTTTCACCGATGTATTTAGCATTTGCTTTCCTACATTCCGGATCACTCTTGGACGAATTAACGGCTTCAGTTAAATTTTATGCATCGTACACCACCGCTGCTCTGGCCATTACCAGTCTGTGGACGATACGCGTGACATTTCCACCTATTCCGTCATTCGGGCCTTTACCATGACTTGTTGCAAAGTAGTTCTAATTCAGCTGTACAGCATTGTGTTCCTGAAGTTTGGCAAGTAACGTAAATATATATTTCTTTTTGACGTATTGACTGAAAGGACCGTCTGTCCATATGCAAATCTTGTTAACGGTCGGGATGTTATCAGTAATGATATCGAACATGATTGAAGCGAAAGCAGCAACGCGTTCTTGTCATGACTTAAGTTACCGCAAGACAGCTTCTCGTTTCTGTAAGTGATCATCACTGTGTAAACTGTAACTAGTCCGGTCGTCAAACCCAATATTTCGAGTGAACCTGGAAATTGTCTACAAAGTTTTTTTTATGATTGATTTTAGTAGTCTCTGGTGTCCTCTTTCAGAATCTGCCGTTTTAAGAAATTCAAGATTGCGTCCAGGGCGGCCGCCATTTCAAATATTTAGATACAGACTATATATTTCTGGACCACGGAGCATATGAGTGATACGATAAATCCACATACATGCCTATCATGAGCCGGTCCTGAAAAGGGGGGCACAAGTTGATTTTTTTTAACATTTAGCAAAACAAATTCTGCCCAAAAACGACGAAAATAAACCCCACAAAACTAGGCAATATTTAGTTTAATCCTTTGGTCGTATGCCTGGTTGCAACCTCCGACAGCACAAGCGCAAAATACATTCTAAGCCATCTCTCGTGCATCTACAAGCAAGCGTACTGCAACGGGTGTCACTCATTCATTGAGCAAGACTACGTGGTTTGGTGGGGATGATGACGATACATTTCCAGTTTTGGATGACTATACCCTCCAGTGTGTTTCAGGCATCGATGCTCATGCAAATTGATGCCTGAAACACGCTGGAGGGTATAGGCATCCACAACTGGAAATATATCATCATCATCATCAATGACTTTCTTGGTCCTAAACACATACGGTTAGATACCACAATTATCATCCTAGACTAAATACTATGGAAGTTATAGAGGATTATTTGAAATGGTGGCCGACTTGGAAGCCATCTTGAATTTCTGAAAACGCTCAAAGGTGATCAAGCATAAAAAAAACTTTGCAGACAATTTCCAGGTTCAGTCATAGTTCTGCCGGACATGCGCGCACTGGATCACGTCTTCCCATATACCTGTGCAATTTTCTGCAAAATCCTTTTGGAGCAGACACTACTCTGAGATTTCTCCATTTGATATGGACTTCGTGTGTTTATAGCATCCTACTTGTTTATCCTTGATGTACGAGTGTCAGATGAACTTGGGGAGCTGCAGAGCTAATTCGTCGAACGTCGTACGAAGGGTTTTGTTTCTTGACCTTTTGAACAAATCCATCAGTATCTCCCCACTGGTACCAAGAAAACTCTTTGTCGACCTGAACAGCATTTTGAAATGTTTTCTCAAATAACTTGCCGTCGCAATAATTACTACAGTTGTTGTTAAGACATACATTTCTCAGTGTTGACATCACAAACACAAACGACTGTAACATCTGCTTGGAATACAAGGGGACAACAGTTGGGTATCTTCGATGAAGTGATTCTAATAGAAGCACGATATTGTTGTGAAATTTACAACCGCAAACATTTTGATGCATCTGGGATGATAAGAGCATCCATCTTGGTCGAAGTGACGAAAACTTTGATTTGTCAATCAAACTTGTAGCTGTAGGATTATCTTCCAAGAAGCACCTGTAGGTCTCAATTTGCGTAGTAACTAAATGACGTTTCTGTTTGTGATATTTGTAGCCAAGTTGGCCTGTCTTTCAGTGATATAAAATCTGCTTTACCCGGCATCATCCTCGAGACAGAGCCGCGCTCATGAAAGTCAACCACTTTCTGCTCCAATTAGGATGGAACACTGTCCTTTGCTCTTGGTAGGCAAGCTTGAAGATCTAGAATTTCGCATGTCATTATCTTAACTAAAGATACTCTTTTCCTTGGACTTTTTGGTAGGGCCTAGTGAAGCCATTGTTTTGTAACAGGCCCGAGTCACGGTACCATTTGCATCCACAACCTCATCATTGGCATTTCCCATTCGGTGATTTCGTACAGCAAAACTATTTCTTTTCCTTAAATCACTGAGCTGTTTTTGTCTCTTGGCGGATCTGGCATTTTTCTTCCGTTCCCTATCCACGCGTTTATGAGTTTCGTAATCCACCCGATGTACAGCTGACTTCAAATTTTCTCTCCGTTTCTGTCGTCTCTCTGCAGCAGTTTTGGCCATACCTGAAAGCAAATATGAATCTATAAGCTTATGATACAAGGATCTAAATACGTTTATGAAATATTTACTTAAAGCTTATCTTGAATTTCGAAAAAATATTTAAATCCGTCACGAAAAGGATGGGTAATTCCGTCCCGTTGGGAAAATGTAATTCACACATTAATTTGGTAGTTCTATTTGTGACCAGTGAAATTTTAGAACACACTTCAATACTGACATATGTTCCCAAAATGGAAATGAGTTTTTATAGAAATATGCCTAATATTAACATTTTTAGAAAAAATAAATATCATATTTTGTGTGACGGAATTACACCAATCGGTGAAAATGTAGACAACATTTACCAATTACGAAATGATATTGTATCACACATAATTAGTGTGGTATGACATGTCATCAAAACAGCTCCCGTAGGATTTGTATGCTAAAATTAATATTGTTGTGGGTTGATTAGGGACCAAGCGATCAAAAAATGTCGGGGTTCAAATTTTCCGATCCCTTGACCCTTCTGGGAGGGGCATTTTTGAAATCGGGACGAGAACATGGCTATCTCCGCCGATAATGGTTGGATTTTCAGGATCTCAAGTCCATTATTGTGTTTTTCGTCATGCCAATCCAATACACTTAAAGTGATTGGAAGTAGTTTTCATTGACTTCCGGTGTGGAATACCAATTTCCGGTGTCAAACTCGGATTGATTTCAGCCAATGATCTTTGGATTTTCATGATCTGAAGTTCATTCTGTTTTGTTTTGTTTTGTTTTTTTAAATCATGCCAACCCCTTCTATAATACTCTTAAAGCGAATGGAAGTAGTTTCCATTGACTTCCGATGGGAAGTACCAATTTCCGGTGTCAAACTCGGATTCATTTCAGCCAATAATCTTTGGATTTTCATGATGTGAAGTTCATTCTGGGTGATTTTCTTCATCATGCCGACCCCGTGTATGATACACTTCAAGCGA